TTCAGCTAATCTTTTCAATTTTTTAGAGATTCTTTCAGGGATTTTTTTCAAATCAATTTATATCATATTAGACAATGGAAGTCCGAACTAATGAATGCACCACGAAACATTGTCAACCACCTTCAGTGACATATTACTTAGTATTAGTTGAAGTTTGAGTTCCCTGTAAATTAATTGATGTCTCTTTCTATTATGAAATTTTGACTATGAATTAATTTTGGCGTTAGAAATTCAAAACCACAAGGACAATTTTAAAAGAGGGAATTAGCATAGATAAAATCTGGCTACTTGCCCTTAAACACACACTAATTGGGTCATTTATTGAAAAAATAGGAAAGACACCACACCCACAGGTCATGAAATATATGTTTGATCACAGTTTACTCGTGTGAAATAAGAAAAATAGACAATGGAAACGTTTATTAGAATCACACAATTACATGTTAAATTATGAAAAAATGGGTTTTACCATACAGAAAAATATGGAAACGATTCTGAGATGAAATTGTATTTGTTAGTTGGGACATTTATTTGAAATGAGATATTTGCATACTGTTTTCACATAGACTCAGAATGAAATGTATGCTCACATGCCAAAGTACATCTGATAAAACTTCCATTATGTAATCAAGTATTATGTCAATTATTACATAATAATCAAACAAAGTGATTATTGGAAGAAGAGATAACAATACAGATACCACTTTGTAATTGGTGTGTTAAAATTTCTAACAAATACTAAAAAAACTATACATGCAATAAAAGAAAGATATCACATCTAGAAACAACATTTTAATATCAAAGCTCACAAATTCTTTTACTTATTACCTAAAGATCAATAATGGAGACATTAAATTTAGTGTTTTTACTGAAATGTGATGTGAAAGTAATACTATCAAAATAAATTGGTCAACCCCATGAATGTACATAGGTAGTTACAAAAACAATCTAAGGCTGTACATTAAAACATTTTCAAAGCTTAATATTGTAAAACTGATAACACTTTTTGGGCTACTTTCCACGTCTACAATAAAATTATTTTCATATGTTATTATCATTACAGATCTACAAAATACCAATATAATGGAAAGAGGTATNCTTTGTAAACAGTTTATTTTAAAATGAATTACTCTTTGCCTTGTTTTGGAAGTTTCCCTCGTTTTTTGTATGAAGATGGAGAAATAGAAAGCCAACATTTTCTTTCTCAAAAACAAATATAATGTTTTGCTCCTGGACAGAATTAAGAGTTCAATAATTTCGGATATTTTGGTATGACACTTCAAAAGTTAAGTACTTAGAATAGAAGATATTCAAGTTGGTTAAACATTGAAAAGTGGAACATCAAAAATACCTCCAACTGCCGCTACCACAGAAAAGTAGATTGGATTATGGTTGACTCATACACATAATACTTCAACTTTGTTACTTTTAGTTTGAGAAAGTTTTCACAATGTAAATCAATGGAAGCCTTCATTCACTGTACTTTTACTTAAGAGTGTGTAAAAGATAAAGTAAAAGTTTGGTGTACGAATCAGCCATAATTTGAAATTAAAATATCCTTCAAAGGTCAATAAAACTTTAAATATCTCAAAAGGATTGATATTCATATTTAAAACATCCAATTATTTGATTCTAATAATTGTTAGAACCTAGATCGGTAATTTCAGGATTTAGTATGAATATTATAAAGCTATAAAAAATTAGATGTCATAACGAATGAAGACTTAAATCAAAACCCTTTTTGATGAAACAAAATATAATTTATATTGGCAAGAACAATATATTTTGAAACATCAACACTGTTCAATTCAATTTTTAGAGGTAAGTTTCGCAATACAGAGCTGCTAAAGGAAGACTGTCACCAGTTCAATTGAATTATGAGGGTACCCCGCACCTTTTTCTAATGAAAATATCTTAAAGATATAAAATTCGAAGTAACATTTCGAAATTCACCATAATACAATTTCTGGAAAATTTTGTATAAAAATATATCTTTAAAAGGAACATAACAAAACCCTATGAACAGTTTTGAAGAGACCTCATTTTACTCGTACACCCTTTTTTAAATAACAATTACAATCACTAAATCCCAATCAAGAACCAAATTGTTCATCACAATTTTCAATTGGTTTGAAGGAATACCCTCCCCTCCCATCTAAATGTAAAACATATTCATGATGCTGCCATAAAGATTTCCTATGTGACACAGTCAACAATGTTATTCCTACATCTCTGCAATACTTGTACATACTACCTTCAACATCAACCGAAACGGCACTTGTGCATTCATCCAAGATTGCAAATTGAGGTTGATGATAGAATAACCTAGCCATAGCTATCCTTTGCTTTTCCCCACCACTTAGGACATCTAACCAGTCTGCCACCGCATCTAGACCTCCCTCTCTTTCGAGAATATATCCCAACTGTACCCGTCGCAAATATTCCTCCAACTTGTCATCAGTAGTCCCTCTACGTGCTGCTTCACTGCCAGAATGAGGGTAGGTAAGCTGATCTCGCAAACACCCTAGCGTCATATAAGGCCGTTGAGGAATGTAGAAGAGCTTACCACGCGGTGGTTTTGTGAGCTCACCTCCAAATAAGGGCCACAATTCCCCCAAGATTCTAAATAAGGAAGACTTGCCTGCTCCATTAGGGCCACACACTAGTACATTCATTCCCGAATTTATCTCAAGAGTTATTTCTGGGATGAGAACGTCTCCGTTAGGCGTAACAAGAGGTACTCTATCAAACTTGATTATATTGTTTCGGAAAATCAATTTCCCACCATTAGGTTTTAAATCCTCTGCACCAGCGACCATGGTTCGCTGGTACTTACCATCATTCAACTCGGCAAGTACTGTGCGCAGTTGAGTTACCCTTGACGTGAAACCTGCAAGTCTTGTGAGATCTCTTCCTGCTAATACCAAACGTCCAATAGCCTCAGCTAGCTTGACTAACATTCTACCGTATGTGTAATATACACGTGATCGTTCGTTTGTTTTAAAAGTCGTAAACTCATGACCTTTAGTCAAAAAGGGTAGCGAGACTGCCCAGAAACCTATAACCCCAGCAAAATACTTTGCAACAATATTATCTACTACACCCATAATCACTTTAAACCTTAGGAACTTCCTGAGATGGTTCAAAAGCTTATTATAGCTAGCCATAAGAGTAGCTTTCTCCCTTAAATTTCCGTTATAGAATGCAATTTCCTCTGAGTGAGTTATGAGTCTAGAATTAACGTGTCTGAACTCCCCTTCCAGTTTTTGTTCGCTTGCAGTAAGTCTAGCTGTTGGCTTACGAAGATTTGTTAACAGAAGTCCAGAAAAAAATAAATATCCTAACATTAATCCAGGAGTTCCGCCTCCCATAGTAGTAGATAACTTATAGACGTAGATACTTATATCTAATAAAGGTTTAGCAGTGTTACAATACAAATCTGTAATACCTTCACAAAATTTATCTATATCAGTTGTAAGTAGTTGATCAGCATTTGATATCCTATTGTCGAGATTGGTTATCCTGTAATAGGTATAGTTTTTGAGATATTCCTCGTAAAGTCTGCGAGTCATGTTGGTCCTTAGTTGAATTTTCAAAGCTCCTATAGAGTATTTGAGAACATTGTTCACTACAGACACTATAGGTATCGCCAAGAAGTAGGTCATGAGGCGTTTTCTGAACAGATCCTTATCCATAGAAATGATGGCACTGCAAAACAAGAATGACAAATTTAAAAGAAAAACATCTATAATTATAAAAGTGTTGCCCTTATTGAACAATTGAAATAATTGTAACATACTTTCATTTTGGTTCTCAAGATATATGGTGTTAACCTAAGCAACATGCTCAGTAACATTGTGATAATAAATGGTGTTTTTTATAGAGGTATAGAACTTTAAGTTGGCATTACTTTTCAAGATGGCGACCGATTTAACAGCTGTCAAGTGATTTATTCTTAGTTTGGTTTGGCAATTCATCATGAATAGACTCACGCCTGAACAACGCTTGCAAATAGTGCAATTTTATTTCGAAAATAATGGTTCTGTGCGGAAAACGTATCGCGCACTATTTTATCGTCGACAAAATCGGATCTTGGTTTGCGTGCTTACAAAATCCAACTCGTGCAAGAATTGAAGCCAAACGATCATCAAGTAAGGCGTAGATTCGTCGAATGGGCCCAAAACGAGATTACCGTTGTTCCCAATATTCATAAGCAAATTTTGTTTAGCGATGAAGCGCACTTCTGGTTGAATGGCTACGTCAACAAACAAAACTGTCGCATTTGGAGTAAAGGTGTATGGAGTAAAGGTGTATGTATAAAGGTGTATGTCAAAACACCGTAACATCCACAAAAACTGACTGTTTGGTGCGCTTTATGGGCTGGTGGAATCATTGGTCCGTATTTTTTCAAAAACGATGGTGGCCAGAACGTTACAGTCAATGGTGATCGGTATAGAGCCATGATTACTAACTTTTTCATTCCTGAATTGAATAACCATGATGTCCAGGAGATGTGGTTTCAACAAGACGGTGCAACATGCCACACAGCTCGTGCCACAATAGATTTATTGAAAGACACGTTTGGTGACCGCCTAATTTCACGTTTTGGACCTGTGAATTGGCCTCCAAGATCTTGTGATTTAACATCGCTAGACTACTTTCTGTGGGGCTATGTAAAGTCATTGGTCTATGCGGATAAGCCACAAACGCTTGACCATTTGGAAGACAACATTCGCCGTGTTATTGCCGATATACGGCCACAAATGTTGGAAAAAGTCATCGAAAATTGGACGTCCAGATTGGACTACATTCGCGCCAGCCGTGGCGGTCATATGCCAGAAATCATATTTAAAATGTAATGCCACAAGATTATCTTTCGGATAAATAAAATTCATGTCAATCGAATAATCCATCGTTGTTTTATTGCAACTTAAAGTTTTATACCTCTATAAAAAACACGCTTTATTAAAGATTCATCAGATTTCGTAGGCTAGTTATTCAGAAAACTCATATTCACACTGAATCACCCCAAAAATATACTATTATTTTTTCTCCATACTTTCTAATATTAGGAAAATGTTAGTAGAGATCAGTTATTTCAATTGAATATCAATAGCTAATAAATTCAATTCAAGTTTTCAGAAGTACTCACATGGATGAAAAATGAAACTTTCTATGATTTTTCCACACTTTCATTTGTAACTAATGTTGTTTCTGCAGTTTCATCCTATATGGACATTTTTAAACAATTATAACGAACATTTTAGTAATTTGTATATTACAAGCCATGATTGAAAAAATAATACATGGAAAATAAACTTGTGCACCAATCTTTTGAAAATAAATTTAGGGAGTCCTTTGCTGAACTATGTAATTTCATAAACTACACATTACGATTCGAAGATCAAATCGTAAGGTGTAGTTTATGAAATTACTACGGATCTTCCGATAACGGCCGAATCAATTAGAGAAGTAAACTATGTAGAATTGCTGACTTTTCTATGCAATTGTGAGACATTAACGTATACTATTTGTAGATCATTAACGTATACCTCAGATGATGAACATTATTTGAAACCTTTGACACCTGTATTTGTTAGTGACATTTCTTGAAATGATATACCTGCTTTAAATAAATTGATAGAATAAAATTGATAAGAAGACAAAAAGTAATAATTCGCAGAACTGATCAATTCAGTTAACGAAAGCAAAGTGAGTTTAACACTGGAGACGTTGCTTTAATTGATGACGAAAACTCAAAATGCTCCTTTCCAGCTTCTGTATCCTATGGAAATTGCGGAATCTTCACAACTCAATTCAACATTGAATGGGAAAACTTTCTTATTAGTCACTGGACTATGCTTGAAGACTGGCAGTAAACAAATCTAAAGAAATGAACTTTAAACGTTCAAGCCAGTCTCGAATATACCACGAAGGGCCTTGGATTATATTCGACAGGCATCAGTGCAGGAATCTTCACAGAAAATTTCCTGCATATGCAATTGGCAATACAACTGAAAGAGTCAACCTTCAATTTTGGAACGGGCACACTTGCATACCGGTTTCGGGCTCATTAGCCACTCATCAGTGCAAGATAGTGGCCATCATCGACCTAAAGTCAATGATATTCCATAATTGAAAATCGACGAAATCCATCTTGATTTTGTTCAGGTTGAAAATCTCTTCCCGTACCCTTTCATCTCGGAATTCTTTCAGAGTATTTCATTCTTCTTCCTAAGTTGGAGCGAACAACAAAATGTCACTCCATCTAGTGGACGAGGCACTAAACAACTGCATATCTGTAATTTGCCCGATTCCTCTGAATAAAGAAGAAACACTTTCTTATTAGTCAGTGGGCTATGCTTGAAGAATGGCAGTAAACAAATCTAAAGAAATGAACTTTAAACGTTCAAGCCAGTCTCGAATATACCTACACAGTAGGTTGAATGGACTGACGCCTATCAGCATTTCTTTAGATGTGTTCACTGCCAGTCTTCAAGCAGAGCCCACTGACTAATAAGAAAGTTTTTGTTCCTTATTCAGAGGAATCGGGCAAATTACGGATATGCAGTTGTTCGCTCCAACTTAGGAAGAGGAATGAAATACTCTGAAAGAATTCCGATTTTCAATTATGGAATATCATTGACTTTAGGTCGATGATGGCCACTATCTTGCACTGATGAGTGGCCAATGAGCCCGAAACCGGTCTGCAAGTGTGCCCGTTCCAAAATTGAAGGTCGACTCTTTCAGTTGTATTGTCAATTGCATATGCAGGAAATTTTCTGTGAAGATTCCTACACTGATGCCAGTCGGATATAATCCAACGCCCTTCGTGGTATTAGCCAGGGGAGTGGTTGTTTTCTGATAGGCGTCAGTCCATTCAACCTACTGTGTAGGTATATTAGAGACTGGCTTGAACTTATAAAGTTCATTTCTTTAGATTTGAATGGGAAAAAGTGTTTTTGTATAATTCAACATTCATACAAAATTAGTTGTTTTGAAAGAATGTTTTCTTTCGTGTAATTCTATGTTTAAATAAAATTAGTTGTTTCGAGAAGGTTTTTTCTTTGCCTCAACAGAATATTGGTCAAATATTGGATTTTCTTCATCACCAGTTTAGATACTGTACTGAAGAAATAAGAAAAGGACTGCAATCTGAAGTCATCTCCAATGTAAGTTGTGTATCATTCATGCAGTAAATAGTAAGCATTTCTAAAGAAAGATCTGCAGTAAAAATGCTGCCGCCATAAATGGTGCTGCGCGTATTGAAGTTGGCTATTCACAGATGATAGTTTCTGACTATTATCACGAGTCGGCTTGGAATGCAATGCTTGAGTGAAGAGAGCGAAGAAAAAAAACTGAAAATAGAGATATTAATCACGGTGAAAATTCCTTAATTACAGTAGTGTCCAATGGGTCGTGGTCTAAAAGGTCCCAAGAAACAAATTAGGTACAATGCCAATTCAGTAGGTGAAGCCACAGATATTGTTCAATCTGCAATCTTCACGGATTATGTTTGATGCAAAAATTGGAGTGGTTTGTCAACTAAAATGGAAACTAGAATAATACTTTATGGATTCATGTTCAGCATTGATTTACATGGACTAAAATATAAATATCAGATTTGGTATGGAGACAGAAGTGTTTACTAAAAGATATAAGTGTAAAAACCATTCATGGATGCATTATTGCAAAATACTTTGTGACTTATTAGCGTAAAATTCAGCTCAATAGGCAAATCGTTTCCAATATATTTCCGCACTTGGGCTAGGTACAATTTTTTTACTGTAAAGACACTTAATCATTTATAAACAGACAGTTTATAAATTTTTTGTATATAATTGTCTAGTATCGATTGATTTAATGTAATTATTCTATATTCGTCCAACAAATAAAGTATAACCCAAACAAAGATAAATGTGTGATCAAAGCATGATCACCACGCACATTTTCTTTTATTGGGTAAAATAAAACAAGCCTTCTTACGCTGGCCAATCATATTAAATGCAATCGGCTGGCGGAATTCACTGTGTTGGAGTGGTCAGTTACGTTCTAACGCCTGTGGACGATATTTTAAAGTTCAAAATTTTAAAAATGTCAAGTAACTGATACGACTGAAAAAACTACTAATTTGAATAACATTATAGAAAATACACACATTTCATTCATGAATTACTCCTCTTTCCATTTGAAAAAAGTTGTAGCTTCCTCTTGGCGACATGTGTTGCCACTATTGTCTTTCTTAGCAAGAAGTACTAAAAACGATACATTTCAACGCATTTTTTGTCCTGTTCAAAAGTAATGAGGGGGGACTATTCACGTCCTCACTGTATATCTGATAATCATATATGCAAAATAAAAACCATATGAACTTCCTGTTGTCACTGGAATCATTAAGCAAATTTTGTATACACAAAATTTCCGCCCGTATTTATATACGAGTAATGATTAAGTGTTTCCGTGCGTTATGTAGCAGAAATATTTTCACTTTTACTGGATACAAAAATGTTGACTTGCTTCAAATCCACTTTTCAAAAAGATCGGAGCTATCAACATAAAATGAGTCATTCATCACCATTTAAAAATTGTTTGTGTTATTCATTTCAAGTTGGTGAAAGTTTGTATGGTGTTTAAAAAGTATTTAACGTGCGATAACACTTGGAAAGTCCGCATTATAGGGAAATGAAAATAATAATCGACAAAGACTA